ATACTTTCTTACTATTTGATAGGTGTTCCGGTCGCTTAGGATACATTCCATTTTCTTCGTGTACTCTTGCTTGTCCATTATCATCGTCGCACCTCCCTTAACCGCCTGAAGAACTATTTAGTCATTGGAAGGGAAACCACTAAGATTGAAAGTCAATTACAAATTAGCTAAATCTACATGCTTGAAGCTTAAGAAAGTAAACGACAGACTCTTGAACACGATGAAGGATTCATATGAATTTTCTCTAAATATCCAAAATATTGGACTGGCAGGAACTTAAATGTTGATGGGTTTTGACGTACAATTCATGTACACAAACATCTAAGGCGAGAAGGCAGTCACCTCCCTGCTGGAGGTCTTGGAACGAAAGTAAGATATCTTGGAAAGAGAGCGGATGCAGAAGGAGTCGTTAACACGCCTAATCAACTTGACGGTAAGTACCACATACTTTGCAAATATTTGGACTACAATTGGGATCTCCACTCTCATATATTTTGGCAAATGTGTACAAGGACAGATTAGAGAATGAATTTGAGAAGTCACCGCTGCAAGCGAGAGTGCTTGCAGAAATAGAAAGAAATATAGGGGTCGTAAATAACATATTTCAACTAGGATTTTAATAAAATAAGATCAGGAATTTGAGGAATCTACATTATTATTCATTCATCTTTTGCTGGCAAAGAATGAAGATTTGCGACGAAATCTTCTGTTTTGAGGAATCCTTCAGCTCTATTTAAATACCAAACGCTTAAGGTATCTTTCTGCTTGCATTTTCTGTATGTACTTATTGTTAAGTGAAACTTTTAGTTTTCATTACATTGCCGTTATTGCACAATCGTTGTTTGAACTGAGATTCTATTTATATTTCACGGTCGAGGCAATTCTCCGTTTGAATAAATAGCTTCACTCAGAGAAAAGCTACAGTTGGAGCTAATATACTTTATAACGCCAGGACATTCTACAAGTCATGTTTTTGGTTTTATTTTCTTTTTTTTAGATAGCCATAAAGACCTTAAACATGCTGGTCACGAATACAGGTTATGCAGTCGAGCCTTACAAAAGCTGTCCTCATCTACTTTATACCCTTTTCAACATGCTGCGCAGAGAGGAGTCTCGTCAGATACGCCGTGAGGTGAGGAGTTATTCTCATATTTATCTCGCATATATATGCGAAAATCCCTAGCTCATTACAGGGTTTTTTGCTTGGAAAGTCAGAAAATGAGGCTCTTCTTACATTTATAGTTACTTTGTAAGACCTATTTTTAATGAAAATTCTTACGTAAGGCATTACCTTTATGTTCCATCAATCTATCTAGATGCTTCGTTGTTGATCAGCTAATGTATCTTCTAAATATTTTTCAGGTTATCCGAGCTTTCGGCCTTGTAGGTGCCTTGGATCCACTGAAATTGAAGATCAATCTTAATTTAATAGATTCCATCGGGGATACGGGTATTGCCATTAGTCTTTACGAGAGACCTGAGCGAAAAGAAGGTTAGCCCTTTGTGTTCCCTTTCCTTTGTGAATAAATAACTGCATATCTAGCTTTTTATTCCTTGCCACGTTTTATTTGCCCTTCCATTGGCTCCGTCTTTTTTTTAAGTCTATA